CACATAATGTGGGTGCTGGAAAGTGTGCAGGAGCTAAGCAGCACCTGGTGAACTTGATTTGGCTGCCAGTGTGCAGCAGTGCCAGGGTGGGACTGGCGCTCATGGAGTGGTAGAATGGTCCTGCACAAGGGCCAGTCCTCCTGCTCTGCTCCTTTGGCTCACAGGACAAGCTGAGTCAATCCTGGCCTGAGCATGCTGGAGTTAGTTAGGCCAGCCAGGCTCCAGATGGAGCTGCTCCAGCAGAGCCCTCTACCTCCTGCAGAAACATGGAGCTGTGTCCAGTTTTCAGCTGACAGACTGATCTGCTGGGGCTGTGTGTAGGGCAGAGGGAACTGTTATTTACAGACTCAAACTGACCCTGGGAGCAGGAGAAGGGAGAGACTCTTCTAATCTTTGACCTGTGCCATTGTTTGTGGCTTTTTCTGAAGGTAAGTCACAGCTGTCCTCTCACCAGCTGTTCTTTGTGATAACTATTACCTCTTAAAGGTCTCTCTTATTCTTTGCGATAGCTATTGCCTCTTAAAGTTCCTCTTGGCCATGAGGAAGTTCAAAGTTCTCTTGGCATTCATTAGAAAAGCTGAAGATAAATTATAAGTGAAAACAGCTGTCAAATAATGGTATAAACTCATGTCCTTGTCACTCCTGTATATTAACAGTTTGAGGACTTTTCTCATCCTGTCAGATGGTACCTTGAAAGCATCTCTACAAATCTTAGCAAAGAGGGCAAGCATCTTAGTACCCTCTGCCCCATTCTTCTTGACATCTCACATTTGTCTTTTGGTTTGGAAATTTTCCTTGTTTCTCACCTTTGAGCAGAGAGGATTGATTTATTGTCTTTGTAGGTCTTGCTTTGTGATGTGACATGTTTTTACATCTGCACAACTAGAAGGCAGCTGATCTGTTCTTTGCCCAGTACTTTCAACTCATGCTATTACCCCTTCATTCTTTCCCATTAAATTGACATTTCAGGGATGAAAACAATTTGTGACCGTATTAGTGGAGACAGCTTCTCTTGGCAAGTAGATTTTCAATAACAGCTTCATAGACGTTATCAAATTCCTCAGACTTGGTGAAACAAGTTCAATTGACATTGGGTAGCCTAACACAAAGTCAGATAGGCTGAAAACTTTTACCTAGGAAAGAAAGAGTTTCTGTTGGCCTGAAGTGATCAATGGGATGCTAGGAAAGGTTTGTTTTAACAGACTAAAAAAGTTTCAGTCTCACATTTGGTCATAAACATTTATTGACAGATTTTCATTTATCAAGAACAGATTTTTCCCAATGTTTTCATATGAGAAATGCAAAATATGTAACAGTACCTGTTGATTGGTTTGCTGTTTGGCTCTCAATTTTGCCCTTTCAGATAAAAGAGGAAAAAAATTTCATTGATAAACTGAACAAACTGCAGTTACAAGTCTTTTTTGCTTATCTTGGGATTCTGAGTAGTCTTGCTGTTTGAGAGCACTGTAGAGATTAGGAATTTACTGAGAGTCAAAAAGTGCTGAAATGTTCATTGCAGTGTGCTGGGTCCTGAGCAGGTGGGACTGGAAATGCTTGCATGTAGATTTTTCACTGAGGACATTGCTGATGTCAACAGAAGGCAAACCCATCTCAGACACAAATAACCCAATAAAGCAGACCTGTGTTGGTTAGAGTCACCCAGTTCACAGACTGGAGGGCAGAGCACATCTTGTGACACCAGGGAAATGTGTTGTTTTTGTGGCTGAGCCAAAGGGAAGCACAGGAAAATATTCTATTCTTGGTGAGGTTTGCTCTCAGCAGATAATTTATAGCAGCACATTCAGTGCTCATGTGAGCAGATGTAGTTTCTCTGAGCCTGGTGGTTTTTTTAAAATGCTCTTACATCAGGAACTGATTAGCCTAATTAGGACTGGGCATTAGGTTCCAAAGGAAAATCAGCAGTGGCTAATCTGTGAGAGGGGAAATCTCTGAGCCCTTTACATCATCTTTGTGCAAGTGGCTAAAATGTCAGGAACTGAAAAATTGGAACAGGACTGACATATAGCACAAGTCAAAGCTCACATTTCCAATAGAGCCAGTGGTAGGTATTGCTGGATAGTGTCACAAGTCCTGCTAAATTCAATGAAAACTGGCATGTGAATTTCTGTATACAACAGCTGCTCTTTGCCATCTCTGGTTGAAATGAGCACTAAAATTAATTTCTTTGTTATAGGTTCATGGAATTGTAAAATTGAGATCAGCCAACTATTTCCTGCCCCAAAGTGGTTTATTTCCTAACAGCAAGTGAAGATGATGGGGAAATAAGATAGTCTGTATTTAACAGCTTTATTGATGATTTCCTTGGAGTGTCAGAAGACACAGCAAAGAGTATAATCTGTGTTTGTACCCCAAGTACATTCTACATCAATGACAGACTGTCCTTTCACTCTGTAGCTTGACTGACAGGCCCTGATATTTGAAAAGTACAAGTAACAGAGTTCTTCCAATGTGATTTAAAAATACATTTTTGCTTTTTTTCAGTAAAAACGAACATGTCTTTCTTACCTTGTCTTTATGGCATGTGACATTAGAATTAGTCAAGACTTTTTTGAGAGTTTTAACCTTCAGAGTATTTCAGAAAGAAACAAACATTTCCTTAATACAGGCAGGAATTCCTTAGTAGAAAGAAGTCATTTTATGATTGTCATGACATTAGAGAAGGGTGTTATAAATCCTCCAAAATACTTAAAAGGATTAAATATAGAAGGAATAAAGTTAGCTCTCGCACAGCTCCTTGGACATAAGTAGATAAGAAGCTCCTTTGAATTTGAAATGTGTCTATGTAAGCCATATGCATTCTGCTTAGCTCTTTCCTAGCATAATCCTCAGAAACTTCACTCCTGGAGGATGTGGGAGGACAATTCAGTCATCTTAAGACATGTGGATCACTAGATCTGGTCCTGATGTGAACGTGAGCCAGACTGCAAGAGCTTTGCTGACACCAGCTAGAAAAGTGTTTCACACAAAGTCAAGGGAGTATGCTCACTGAAATATTATTATCCAGCTTGCATAATCCTCCCAGAACCTGGCTCACTATTCAAGCATTCTGCCAAATGCAGCAGATCAAGATGCATCATAAAATATTTGCACCATGTTTGAGATACTAGAACAGGATCATAAATCAGGCATTTTTGTTGTTCTGGGAAAGCCTGTCAGAACAATTTCTTCTGTATTAGTGAAACCTTTCTGCACCTTTTCATCACACAGCATTCTATTCTGTATTTCTTTCCTCACTGATGACCTTGTATACCCTGTCAGGCATGACTTTACTTTGGACTTCTGCAAACTGTTTTATTTAGAATAAAGCATTAATTTTTTTGGCCATCATTTTCTGTCTGGAGATAGCCTGATCTGTCTGTTTCTCAGACACCTCTTATTTTAATTGAGCTTTGTGCTGAAATGACAAATGACAAATTCATGACTCAAATACATCGCTAACTCTTGCACTCCTCTGCTAAAAGATGCAGTGAGGACTATAGTGACAGTTTTGGTAAATAAGAGTGCCAGAGTATTCTTTCTTACTCCATTTCTGGTGCCAGCACAAACTCTGCAGTTATTTTTCTAGAAAATAGCTCCAAACTCTTCTTCTCTGTGCTGAAGCAGGAAGAAACCAGTGATTTGGGTACACTTGCTTCTTACCCACTGGAGGTCAGCACAGATCTTCATAGGAGCTAGGGAGAGGCCCCGTGGGCTGGTATGGAAGGGAAATGTTATAACAGTGGATATGATGCTCAGTGTGCTATGAAGATGTGTTGCTCTGCAGCACCTGATGTCAACTCAACACTCTTGACAGCAAATTACTTATGTGTTCTTCCATTGATTGAGGCAAAGAATAGAAAGGAGTTTTGAAACACATCTACATTGTAAAGAGAAATGAATATTGGCACTGAGCTTTAAGTGGCAACCCACTGAAAAAAAAAATCAAATTCTTTCCAGGTATGTGGAGTTCCCTTTTCTTAAGGTTTAGGGGAAAATAACCCTGTTCCTTCAAACAGGTTGAGAATCAGGTTGAAGCAGGCAGGAAGGATGATAGGTCTGCAAGTCGTACTGGAAACAAAAAATAATCTCCAGTAATTTTTCATAGGCTCAGAATTTCACCTATAGATTCTGATGTTTGAAAAGATCCTGATGTGTGACAATCTGAATCACACAGTCAGTGGAATGAAAGGCCAGAATGATGCTGCAGGGAAAAAGAGCAAATCTTGAGATCTGGAAATCTCAGTAAACACTACTGACTTAGAAAGCAGGGTTGCCTTGTTCAACTACTTCCATGAAGCCCCACAAGTATTTTCCAGTCTAAAGCTGTCTTCATATTTTGAATGTCACAGGAAAGCATAGCAATGAAGGATTATTTTACTGTTGTTTAATAAATAAGGAACCATAATGCAGCTTTACAAGTGATTAATGTGGAAACTTCTTTGACAGGGAATTGATAAAATAATTGAGACAAAGCAGTGAAACTGACTTTATCAAGTTCTCCCTTTTTCCTACCAAAAATCCCAACCTCACAAGCATTGTTCAGAAATTGAAAAGACTTTCTTACAGCTCTTTCTTGTGTGTTGTAATGAGATGACATAATTGTTTTTATATGGATGTTAGTTTTTTGGATAAATTTTGAGTAGCTTTATTGACGCTTTTCATGTTAGATGTGAGCAAAACAAGATGATGAGCAGTAGAATGAGAAGTACAAGGTTTAAACCCAGATCCTGAATACAGCCCATTACTGCTGTCTGCTTAAACAAAAATTTGTCAGTGCTAAGGGAAAACAAACAAAAATGTTTCCAGTGCTCCTTCTGAAAAGGAGAAAAATGCAACAGCCAATGTCACTGCTATCAGAAAAAAGGTGTTTCTGTCAGATAAGGCACCAAGAGCGCATTCCTCACTAAATCTCTCCCTGAGATGCCTAGCCTGTGTAGTGCTGTTACTAACCCTTGCTCTGTAATCTCTCTGTATATATGTCTAATTTATCAGTTTCTTGTAGATTGTCAGCAGCCTGCTGCCTCCATACCGCCACACGGCTCACAACTAGCCAGGGGGCCAGATTGCCAGACTGTCAGGTAAACTCCACTAACTCTCCTCTCTTTGCACAGAGCTGCATGCATGCCTGCCACCCCCCTCCTCCTCCTCCTCCTCCTCCTCAGACAAAAGCTCTTCACTTTGTCTCTAACAGCAAACCTTTAACAGCTTGAGGAACAGTGGTAATTTCTGCAGTGACAGCACCAACATGAGTCACAGCATTCGTGCACTTGCTTCCCTGTAAAAATATGGAAAAAATGCCAAGCTGGATCTTGCAGCCCTCATTTGATATTTTGATGCAGTTTCTCGATGAATCCAAAGTAGTAATGAATTTATTTTGTTGCTAGAAAGATTTACTTAAATGGGCGACTTTTAATTTCAGACTTCTCTTTTGTAAGGTGGGATTTCAAAGGCATTTGTGAGATTTTAGCAGACACTTCTAAGTTCTCCCTGACTTGGAAACCCAGACCTAAGGCAATCACTTTTTAATCTTATTTTTAAAAATAAACTTCTGGTGTCCTTGTTCATAGGTGGTGCAAAGGCCACATCATGCTTCTGGGATGGCTGGGTTAATCAAGGCACAACCCCAAACCTAAGCAAAGCAGAAGGACATTATAATGATTTTATCTGTTCATGGCACATTCTGTGCTAGTATTCACTTATGTCTCTGCACTCATTTGAAATAGTTTACATTGTTTTTAGGCCTTTGCCTGAACTGCAGTGACCAAGTTAGTGCCTCTCTTTTATTGCCTACAAAGTGGAAGTACTGTTATCTTCTTTACTATGTAAGAGCAATATGAAAATTTTACTGAGAAGTTGGTGTAAACTCATTATAACTGGAAAGAATAATTTACTGATTTGCAGTTTGGAGTTCTACAGCTCACTGAAAAAAATTACAAGTTACATTTAAAATCCGTAATATGCCAGTAAAGTGATGCTGCTGTATTTTAGATGTTAGAGCAATTTGAGATTAGCAATAGGTGCTTTTGTACACATGGAAGGTTAACATCAACAATTTTAACCCTATTTAATTTAATTAAAGTTCCTTCCAGAGCTACTCTCCTAGTGATGAATATGCTCAAATACCATCCCTCTCTACATGGAAATCAAGAATTCCTTCTGTAATTTCAAATTATCTTCTCAAAAATCTGCAAACATTACCTTGTTCTGATAATTTAAAATATGGTTAATATTTGAAAAACTTCAGATCAGTCATCTTACAAACAGCACACACCTTACACACTTTGCTGAAAAACTGACTTTCAGGTGACTATTTTTTTTTTACCACTAGATTTGTACTTGTCTGGTGAAGTCAAAACAACACTGATTTTGATAGATTCACAAAAACATTGATTTTGATAGATTCACACTGCTGCCTTGCTTGCCTCTGCCACATTACCTGCCCAGCTCTGTAAAGCAGTGAAGCATAACAACAGATTTAATGCAAGTCAGCATGATGACATAAATTGAGTTGTTTATATAAAGTAATTGGAATCTGGAATAAAATTTGAGGGCATTTAAGGACCAATTAGACTTACTGAGGTTTGGATTTTCTAAATGCAGCAGAAAAGGAAGCCAGGAGCTTGTCCCACCATTCCTTGTCCTCTGACTGTCCTTGAAGTCACCCATTTTGAGAGAAAGCTGTGCTTGTTTTTTAAAGTCTCCAACACAATTCTTGCAATATAATGTGACCTCTGAGTGGCATTTCAGCCAGGACTAAACAAGAGCTGGTTAAAGCTTGTGCTTCACACAGATGTTTTCCACATCCTGCAATGTCTAATGGTGTTCAAACCAGTTAATGCACCTGACCATAGCACAGGGAGATGCACAGAGAGCTTTCCCTCCTTCATTAGCTATACTGTGGTTTTTAACTGGAACTTTATAACTCTGGCATCTTTAGTAATTGTAATTCCAGCACACAGGCTTTGGTAAATCTCACTAGATAAGCAAGGCAGTTTCAAGCCAAATGAGACTCCAGGGCAGATCTAGTCAATTAATTTTAGCTTTACATTGGTCTTTTTGCTTGAATCTGCATGTTTCAATTGAAACTTGATTGGAGGATCTGTGAGAACTTTTCTTAAGAGATTTTTTTAAATTAAATTGATGCAGCAGTGCCCAAAAGTCTCACTCTGCCTTCCATGCATCACCTCAGTTTCTAGGTCTGGGGATGTGGGGCAAGCACCCAAATCCAGGCCTGCCATGACAATTACTGGGTGCTGTTCCCCCTTCTCAGCACCTGTAACTACCTGTCTGATGGACTGTATTGGACAAGACTAAAATATTGTCATTTTCCAATAATAAAAAGAGCATGCCCATGTTTGGATTGTATTCAGGTTTCTGTTGAATGCACTGAAGACCTCATTTTCATTATCAGAGGCCAAAACTCTTGGCCCAAATTATCTATTAATAAAAAAAACAAACCACAGCTCCCCAGTACCTCAAATGAAATTAATATTGCCTTTTAATATGAAATAATGCTTTTATTTATATATAATAAACATTAATATAGTTATATTATTACTATAATATATTATAAATAAATATTAAAATAATTCTTATATTAATTATCTAAAGTAAGAAATAAATTTTTTAAAGAGTAAAATATGTGACTTAACACATGCAAAATTTCTGCATTCTGAAAATATCATTGGTCTGTTTCTATTTTCCTTTGCTGATTTGTTACAGTTACAATCAATGCCAGACAATGTTGCATGTGAATGGCATCTCTAAGCCAGAGCAGAGCACTTACAAACACTGAAGGGCTTTGCACATCATTTTCCAGTTAATTTTAGAAATACATGATTAGTATTTGGAGTGCCAGGGAAATAAAATAAAGGAGCTGCATAAAGCCAGACAATAATACTAACACAAAAATAATTCAGACTTTATTCATCAATTGAATGAATACATCTCCAAATAATACCAGCATTTAAAGAGATGTTCAAAAAAAGTCTGTAAAAACCAGATGTTTTTAAAACTACACATACCCCATTGGGTTAATGTAACAATATTCTTCCTTATTCTCTGTTTATAGTCAAAAACTCAAGTTCTTCCATGTCTCTGTCTTGCTTTGTGTTATTAATCTGCCCTGCCATCCTCTGCTGTCTGTGACTGCCGGTGTGTCTGATAGCTCAGCTCCAGGACCTGCTGCCACCAGCACCTCTACTGCCATAAAAAGCACATTGAATACCATGTGTCACTTGCTGATTCTCATGTATTTTTAGTTTATGTACTGCTACAGCAAATCTGCATTAATGAACTGGATGAATTGTGTTTCTGAAGAGAGGAAGGTATAACAGCAGAGTTTTAGAAAAAGATTGAATCTATTTGAGCTGCAGGTGATGTGGTTATGTATGCTGCTATAAAGGTGCCTGCTAGCCTTGACATTTTTTTTCTCTTCCTAGTGCCCTTAATATTTATTATTGATTGAAAAGCGAGACAAACTTTTCTATTTCTTCTGTGCACAAAGTGTGCTTGTATTTCAAAGTAAGAAGCAATGCAGAATTACCAGGAAAAGAAAATTAATATAACTCCAAGCACAGTGCTTAGAATTGCTAATCTGAGCATAGCCTGGGATAGTCTGTAGTACAGCTTTTACACTCATGGCTGGCTTTGTACTGAAGGTCATGCCATAAAGTTATTATGGTTATTTTTATTTGTGTAGAGGAGAATCTTGTGTGTCTCAAGGAGGTTCTTTCAGGCCACTGATGCTGTACATAACTAGTTGCAGCTACAGCCATTTCCTCACCAGTCCTCTCCCTCAGAGCATGAGCATCTTTTGTTGCTTATTTTAAAGTTAGGAAGGAAGCCCCAAAAGGCAAACACATCTCTGCTAACGAGCAAGGAATGTGTGTGCTGAGTTTCTGTTCCTCTCTGGCAATTACAGGAGTCCTGTTTAAAAAGAAACAAGGCAGCAAGGGCGAAGAGTAAGCCAGTCTTTGTAGGGTTGTGTAATCACCTCCTTGTTTGTCCTCCCCAAATGGGATGTTAAGATTCTAATTCAGTTTTCTGTCTCTGAAGGAATTAAGACTAGTGCTTATTCTAAGCCTATCTTGAAAACTTAGGAGATGCTGAAGCCAGGCTGTGGATGAGTGGATAAGTTTGAGAGTAAATACAGAGCTTTTGGGTCAATCTGCAGTCACTTCTGACACAGTCATTGGTGTGGAGCAGATAAAGATCTTAATGAGATCTCTCTGTGGATGCTGTATCTGCATCTGCATGTGGCAGAATATGCCAAAAGGATAGGATGGATATAGCCAGGGAAACAATTACTTCTTCTACATAGCCCATAACACTTCACACTTTGGGACTGAACTGTTAGACAGCTGAGCATAAAACAAAGCTTGTGAGATCCTGAGCTTCTATAACCCTCTAACCCTCTCTCACCCCCCATTTTCCTATCAGGAAACTCATCTTCAGGAGCATTACTGGGAAACAGGATCTAACTTAAAACATGCAATTTTATGATCTTCAAAAAGCCAGAGGTGCAAGGACTGTAGCTCCTGTAGAATTGTGTATTTGGGGTTAAAGCCTCTCAGATTTTCTGATTTGAAAATGTGGACATTGCCATCAAGTTACTTAACGGTGGTGGTGCACACTTCTTTCTTTCTTCAGTCAAACACAATGTCATCTCTTTGTTTCCTTAAGTAAATGCTGTGTGTGGAAACCAAAGACATTTTCAGTACTGCTGGCATTTCCAGTAGCATTTTTCCAAACACCTCTGGCATTTCAAATTGATTCATTTCCAGCAACAGGCTAATTGCATTCCTTCAGCCAGAACTCCAATAGTCTGTGCTACAGAGATAATATGTAAAAGCGCAGTTTCTAAAGGAGGAAAACAGAGAAGGCAAATTCTCTTGAAGACAGAGACATAAATTATGATGGTGCTTTATCATACATCACAGTGCTGAGCTTGGAATAACTTCAACACTGTAGAACATTTTAAGCATTAGGGGGAAAAAGTCTTCCCAGACCTATTAAAGAGCTGGGGGTTTTGGTATTTTTCTCCTTTTTTTTCCCTTTTCCTTCTCTTTATAAATGAATTTTTTTTGCATTTTGTTTTGGTATCTTGTTTTTCTACAGCTCTGCACCAAGAAGTGGGGTGTGTTTGTGTTAGCTGCCCCTTTTCTTTGCTGCTACTCCAGCCGCTGTAAGCTGGTTCAGACCTCTCTGCACTATGCCAGTGCCAGTGAGTGCTATAAATGCACTCTAGACAGGTGAAGTAACAGGTGAATGCTGTTATCAGACAAGTTGTACACGAACAACAGTCAAATGACAGGAATATATGACAGAATGAAAAGGATTTGAGCAGTACAAAAGCCCGAAGTTAACAAAAGATAAGAAATCCCCACACTTCGGGAGTGTAAATTACATAACGTGTAATGGTTAAGGGGCCTGATGAAGAAGGCTACACTGTATTTGTACAAATGAACAAGTAAATAGGTCAAATTCAGGAGGCATTACATTTTCACAGAGCTATGAAACCTGATTTCCAGCCTGGCACTGTCCTTCATTTCAAAAAGTGAATCAGCTGCATATAGAAAATCTTCAATACTCACGTAAAGATGGCACCTGCATCTTGTCCTTCAGATTTGCTCTCCCATTTCACAGATGCATTTTTTTCTCCGCACAGTCTTTGTCATCCCAGCATGCAAACAGCAATTGTGTTCAGGAATTGTGAAGTGGGATATCTGGTCCACCTCACAAAAGCATCCAGGTCTCACTGACTTGCTGTGCACTGAGAGTTTTCTGTATGTATACTGTATGTCTGAGGATATGGATTTAGAGATGAGGCTTCACCCCCTTTAAAGTTCATTTCCAGCCCTGTACTATTTACATGCTTGTAAAATTTTGCCTTGTATTTTAAGCACTTTTTCTCTTTTCTTTTTAATTTTCAGTCCTAATGCTCTTCCAGAAGAGCAGCCACATTCCAGCTCTCAGTGTGCCCCTCTCAACTGTCTCTCTAAGCCTCCTCCTTACCCCTAATCTTCATATGCAACGTAAGAGAGAATGCAAACAGAGTGGAGCTCATGCAACAAAGGTTGGGGCTGTTCCCAGCAAGTGGGTGGACAATCCTGCCTTGTTGCTGCATTGGCAAGTCTGGATTCATATCCCCTGCTCTGGCAACTGAGGGAAGGTTGAGAAGAAGAACACAAAGCACAGAGCCCAACCTATCAAGAAGACTTTTTATGGTTCCTCTGATTGTACTCAAACTGTGCTATCACAACTGAAGTGTAGTGAAATTTAACATCTCAACAAAAAAAATGTTCCTCCCAGCTGCTTGGCTTTACCTCTGAAATGATGAGAGACTTAAGCCAATGTTAAAAAAATATGTTACAAAAATCCTACCCTCACATCCTCTAAGTTCAGCCATAGGAACCAGTTCAAATTTCTTTTTGTCTTCAAGGGTGTGATATTTATTTCTTACTTTATTTGCACCAGAATTTTGTGTTTATAAAATACAGTCCTTTTTTTTTTTTGGTGAGAGTTGTATTTAACTAATTTTATTTTTTAAATCCAAGCAGAAATAGCTTCAGTGAAGAATGACTGTGTTAATATTAAAAAAAGGCTTGTTGCATTGGCCAGCATATGGCAAATTTTTATTGCACAAAAATGTTGGAAATGGGTTGAATTGGAATGTTAACAATGACTGTATATTTTGCTGCTGCACTGATATTGTTTATGCACTTGTTTTTTTTAATTCCTATTACACTAGCTTCTGGTTTTGTTCTAGCTCTTCACTGAAAGATAATTATTAAGCCTAAGAAGGAGATGAAAGGATAATGTACTGATTTGTTTTCAGTTGTTTGCTTGCATTGTAATGCTTCTCGCATCATGAATTGGTGCTGTTTTTTGGGATTATTTTCTATTTGGTATCTGAGAAAGAAAATCTAAAATAAGTAAAATGCTGTGTGCTAATTGAGAACATTCTTTCCTCCCACTCCCATATTCAGGATCCTAGCTCGAGGCCTTACCAGGAAAGGCTAGTTTGAGTGGGGAAGTCGTGTGCATTTTGTGTGAAGTATTCTCTGGAGAAAGAGCTCATGCAGGTAGGGTTGATGGTGTGGATCAAAGTCAGCAGGACTTTACTGTAGTGCATTTTTTCCTTGCCAAAAATCAACAGACACAGAACCTTAGCTCATGTCAGTTTATGACAAATACTCAGGTGATCAACACTACGCAGACTCTATCGCAACAGTGCACAGTGTTCCTAGTTAAAGATTCTTTCCTGCAAAAGCTGAGTAAGCCTGGTTTTTTTTCTTAAAAGCAGTGAGTTTCAGAACAAAATCAAGGATAGAAGAATTTATTTTGCACAGTACTTGGCAGCAAGGGAAGTGGCTAAACAGAGGGCTCAGCATCTGTGGGTTTCCCATCCGGTCATCAGCTGGAGAAACAAGTCTGCAGTGCTGCCTACTTGTTGGTAACTAGCAGGCTCCTTGTTTTGTTAGGTGGCCTTAATTTATTTACAGAAGAGAGGCTTGGATATTTCCACATGTCTTTATTCCTTCTCTGCAGCACATGTTTGACCGACAAGTGGGAAACACAGTACAGCCTAAGGTACGGGGCAGCTGGGGAAAAATAATTTGCTGCAGGTGTGGCTGGAACAATTCTTTCAAATTCTGCCTGAATCTGAGAAAATGAAGTCAGATTTTTTAGTAACAGTGCTTACCAAATGTTACAATACAGAAAACATCAGCAGAGGAAAGAATCGGTGACCACTCAGTGTGCCTAACAAATCATTATTACCATAGTACCAAGAACAAAGGTGCTGTAAATAGAAATATTTTATGTCATCAACAACGTCTGTCGTGTAACCTTGGCAAAGCAGCTGAGCTGTAGTAACAAAACACTCAGAGAAAATAGGAACAAACTGATACCCAGTCCTGATCAGATCAAACAGATAACACTTGGCAGTGTTGTGACTTTGGTTTCCATGGGGTTCACGTGATTCTTCTCATATACCTTTACATCACTATTCAGTATCATAATTAAACTGCCTGTTGTCTTGTCATAGAAAGGTCAAGTGAAACTTGTTCAGCTCCATCATGGTGTCTGACACTGAGTTTAGCTGCTATTTTGATTTTTTAAAAAAATCCCCACAGTGTTTTGTCTGAGGCAAATTCAGCTTTCAAAAAGCATCTCCAGATTCCTGACCTCGTCTGACTGGTGTAAGAATATCTGTGTCCAACAAAGACAGCTACTGTATATTGTTAATAGGAGAAGGAGTTTGCATAGCACTTTGAATGCAGTTACCACTGACTGCACTTGGAATAGTTTTTCCTATTTTCTTATCCAAATCAAAGGCATTTTCCTAAACTTTAGTTAAGCAGTAGTTCAGTGAAATACGTTTCCTTTCTATATAGATACAACTTTATTGGGGAAAAAAAAGTATCAAAAAAGTTTAGAAACATAAACATACGCATGTCCATGTGGATCAAGAGTTATGAAAGAACATCCAGTGGTATAGAAGTTGTGGCCCTGTTTTATAGAAATAAATGTTTTTATTCTCTTAAGTTTTAAATTTTTAATTCCTAAGTTTTCAATTTGCATTTTTTATATGTAATAAAATGTAATTGTTGGAAATGTGAGAGAACTAGAAACAAATCAACTTTGATGTACAAATGGTTGTAGTTATTGCATTGTAAGTTACAAAACTCTGTAGGTCCCTGGGACAACTTTTGTCAGTTAACCAGTATAAAATAAAATAAAATAAAATACATACCTTGAACTTAAGATGAAAACCTCTTCTTTGTTATATATTGATTGATAATATAAAACTTTGAGATTTTGTGGGGAATATTTACATGCAGACAAAACCAGAAACAAAAGCCTGGGGTTTTTTAAGGGTTGCAAAATTTTGCCCATTTAAAATTAGTTTACATCGTGTTGATATCTATTCTGATTTTTAAGGATTAAGAAAAAATTATAGATATATTTGTAATGGTTGAGTATACTTAGAAACACAGCTATGTGTTCTGCTCAGTAAGGAGGCAATTCAAATCCTGCTCTGACTTTTGTGTCTGAAACACAGCTTTTGTTCTCTGTGATGGCCTTGAAATTTCTTTGGATTTGAAATAGCCTACTCAAAATAGGGTCATTTAGGTCAAAACAGGAGCATTTTGGTTTGGGTTTTATTTTCTGATGTAGTGAAAAACTATTCCTGGTTCAGTGAAATGATCTGCTTGTGGAAATCCAGTTTATAGGAAACGTGTGAGGAAAAGAAGAAAAGGAAAGAAATAGAAAAAAAAAAACAAATATAAAAAGAGAAAAATATGAAAAATAAATTGTAAAATGTAATAGTATGGAAAAATATATTTTCTATCAGTCAGAACATATATGGAGGTTTAAAAGAAAGAGGACATAACTGTTTTTCATGCTAATTGTATAGGATTTTCTGCCTTCTAAATGGGGGCAGTAGTGATATTCTTTCTGATTGATCTGATTGACAGGTTGGCATCTCTGTGCTTTCTCTATCCACATTTTTCACAGTAAATTAATGTAATCATAGCTATACAGCAGAGTTTGTAGAATGAAACTGTAATTAACGCTGCAAGTTTTAATGCCAAGTGGATTTTCAGTTTGTTTTTTATTTTAAAAACAATGACAAAGTTGTTTAAGCCATTTACCATATTAATGTGTGTACATAAAGGAGATTATGTTATGAAATATAACCTCACTCATGAAATATGACCTCACCTATGAAGGCTGCTCACCATAATTATGTTGGAATTACTTAAGTAAGCTGTCAGTAAAATCTGATCCAGTCCTTATCCCACTGGGAATGACACCCAGAGTCCAGGCCCTAATTTTGGTACCAACCTTAAGGTTCATCCTGCATTGCCAAAGTCAGTAGCTTTGCTGCCAGCTCCACTTACAGCTGGACTGACCATCATCATCATAAGGTATAAATTACATCAGCCTTTCTGAGGTCTGTTCCTTTCTTTGGCAGAAGATGCATATCCACTGAAGTTACAGTAAATTTCTTTCTTTTGTTCCTCGGAAATCTTCGTTTGAGAATGGCAGGGACTGATGTTTTACCTTTGAAGTATGATAATTGCTATAGTTACCTCCCTAAAAATTCCAGTCATCACTTCTTCTTCAGTTTTCCTTTGCTGTGTGTGCAGTGAGTCTGAAAGGGATAGATACTATTCAGACTTTTTTAACCATTAAGCGTTTTTTTTTTAAGTGTAATTAAGCATCCTGTGGAAAAGAAATAAAAAAGCAATTGCCTTTCGCCTTCAGGCACAAATACATCAAAATATGCAATGGAAAATGTTTGCATGACATTGTTAACATCGTGTAGCTTCTCCATGTCCATAACTAAGCTAGAAAATTCTTATTTCTTGTGTGATATGCATATTCCTCTTGCTAGGAGGGCAAGAGAACTATCACAGAGAGTCTGTATCTTTTATTTGGAGGTGCACAGTTTAAATCCTTATTGGTTTTTAATCTGTTTCCCGTGGAGTTCTTGAAAATCCCCTTTGCGAAATGTAATGGCACCCAAGTGACAAAGTGACAAAAGGTAAAAGAAAAATCCAATATTTCATTACTGGAGTTAACGTGTGGGCAGACTCTGGGTGATAGAGCCTTGTATTTCAAAAGTGTCTTTCTACAAAGCTATTTGTTTAGATTATCATGATTTGCTGCAACAGAGTGGATAAGAGTGTATGTTTTTTCTCGGTGTTAGTAATCTGAGTTTTTATTGAATAGGTGGTTGCTTGATTTCAAAAATATTTTGGAAAATCAATAAAGAGAAGAATTTGATAAAAGTTTCACGTAGACTGGCTTGCTAGCTAGTTGGTATTTTATCAGCTATGAACAAGAAATAAGAGTGATCTAGCTTATTTTATTATTATTTCTCCTGTTCACAGATATGGCTATGTGTGCTATGCCAGTGGTTAAATTAAGTCCATTTTATTACTTATTTCCCTATTGATTTTCAGCCCTGTGGTTTGACTGTTAAAGGGTTAATTAACTTGATCCTTTGTAAACAATTAAAAAAAAAAAAGAAAACTGATGTTTTGTGATTTTTGTAATCTATTGAATGTTTCCATTTGCATGATGTTCTGTATTTAATGAACCATACAGATTGCTGTGTTCCTTTCAAAAGAGTTTTAGCATTGGTGGAGTTTGTGACAAACACAAATTTGTATACTGTATGTTTACTGCTGTAATAACTCAGCTACTCCTATGTTGAATTGACATTATGTTGTCCTGCCTTCTTGGGGTTAAATGATGAAGTGTTTCTAGGTGGTGAAGAATATAAAAGTATATATGTTCATTTCCTAAAGACTGAATATTGGAAACTCTTCTTGTTGCTACTTTATGCTAAAAGCAAAAAAAGTTAAATAATTCTTGTTTCCAAAAATGCATCATTTATTTTTAAAATTGAAGTAATTCTCATGTTAACTTTTCCTTGTCCTTGTAGACAATCCTAGATTAATACCTTGTGAGGGATTCATAAAGTCTGTGCTTGTACATGTGTAATATGATCATGCAGTCAAATGGTTGGGAAAAACACTCTACTGCTGAAGAAAATAATTTAAAGAAGCTGATATACTGATTCTTACATCTTTATGTTCCAATTAAAATTACAGTGTAATGCATAACTGTTCCAGTGAATAAACTGGCCATTTTTGTTCATTTAACACCATTCTGTCTGGCCTGCTTCTATTTACAGCAGTTTGCAGTGCTTAGAATTTCAGAATCATTTCATTCTTAGAGATCAATCAAAGGTCAAAGGTATCAGAGAGGAAATTAAGAAGGGAAATCAACATTAAAGGAAAGGGAATCAGAATTAAAGCCAAGATGCTTCCTCTGCTTTCTGAGTTTGAGGCAGATACTAAAATACAGTTTCCCCATATAGTGTTTCCAGCAGATTTGAGTGATCTCTGAAATGCTGCAACATCTGCACAAACTTTCAGCACAAGGACGCTCTGCAAGATGCAGATATCCATCCTCAGGGGATGTGGAAGCAAAAGAGCTGAAGTCAACATAAATTTGGCTTGGCAATGCTGTACCATACCTGCTTTTTTACAGTAAGGAACATCCTTTTTCTTTGCAGAAGAGCCATGCTTTGAAAGCAGAGAGGTGAAAATCCCCCCACATCAATCCAGGAGCTCAGCCCTGGCAGGAGGGTGCTGCTGCAGCTCCTCAGTGAACCTTGCTGCTCTTATCCCCTCTACCCCTCTATCCCTGAGGGATAGAAAATGTCCAGCTTTTAGAAGTGGGTCAAGAGGATTGTGAAGGAAGGATTGCATCTCCAAGCTTGCTGTGGTGTTAGACTCAGTGGGAACAGTTGGACAGCTGGGCTGGTTTTTGCCTGGCTGGGGAGGTGCTTTGGATAGAAACACAGATTATGCATGGTGACAGAAATGGAGTCCGAGAGCTGTGTTTGGCTGGGTTCTTCCCACTTGTCTCTTCCTTTTTCTCACCTAGCAGGGGTTGCTCTCCTACCTTACCTTTTCTCATTGCAGAAGTGCCTTGGGCAACAGGTTCCACTATGATTTAGCAGAACTGTGACTGCTAGAATTTTTTACACTGGCTACTACTCTTTTTCAATTTTGAGTTAAGGGTTTCTGTGAGTTGAAGCAGACTTCTCTTCTTCAGTGTGTTTTGAAAGCAGTTTCACAGAGGATTACCCCTTGTGGGAATGTTCTGATTTCGAAGATGGTTTCAGAAACTTCTAACCCATATTGCTCCTTCCCCTTTTTCTGTGTCATCCCTTCAGCTGGTCCTGTGCAGGGCTCTGAGAGGCAATGGTATGAGTATGGTCACTGAAATAAACTGGGGGAGAAAACCCAACAAACTGAAAAAAACCTCAAAAATTATAATTTTTGTTTCCAAAGAAAATGTCTATGTAATTTCTGCCTTGGGAAGAAGCATTACTCCACATTCTGGAGCAGGAGGTAACTTCTGACCATTGAACTGTTGGTTTTATGCTGTATACACACCAGATTTTAATGGAAAAGATCCTGAAGCTGAAGTTTTCAGTGACTGTGGCAGCAATTCTTGGTTTCTAGCTACCTCCCTTAATAAATCCTGCCGTTATGCATAAAGAAATGCAGAGCACTTCCAGTTATACCTAAATGCAGCAGGAGCTGTGGTTTGACTCTCCTAACGCTATAAATAAACACTGACAGGGCACTGGCAAATGAGGTATTCAACAATGTTGAAACCTTGGGTTGATTTTACCAGTAATAAGAACAGAGATACTAATTATGGAGAGGGCCTGGCAGCCACATCTTCTAGCAGCCCATGAATGACAAACATGGAAGATTTTTTATATAGAACAAGATGGAGGGGAAAAATGGAGCTAAAATAGGTAGTCATAATTATGTGCATCCTGGGAAAAATTATTTGGAATAAAGCCAGTTCTCATCTGTTTGTTTATGGTAAAGGCACCGGCACA